TAAATTAGATTTAATATCGATTTTTATCATTATATGATTATTATCAATTTTGATATAAATTAATTATCAACAACACCGTCAGTTATAATCACTTAAAGTCAATCGATTATAATCAATTAACTGTTTGCAACTAATCATAATCTGGCTTTAAAATTTCCTGATGTTGGCCAAAATCATTATTATTTATCTTCTTATTCCTTTTTTGTTAACTTCATAGCAAGTTATAGAGATTTTTGTCTTCAGCTAGAATCAAACTATTAACTTTTTCTGTAGAACCCAAAACCCAAGTTAATATATATTAAAATATAGTAGGCTAAATAAAATTTAAAAATAAAAAAAAAAATTACAAAATTTAAAATAAAAAAATTTAATTTTGTTAATCATAATTAAGAATAGTATATAATTTAAATTACAATAATATAAACCATTGATTTTTAATTTAAATCAAATTAAAACATGATTTAAAATAATTTATTATATAATTATATAACTTGAATCGCGTAATTGGTGAAAAAAAAAAACAAATTTACGGTATGTTAATTAAGAAAATATGCTTCGCAGAAAACCTCCTTTTAAAGATATTTGTTTACAATTTATAAAAATTACTGGCATGAATAAGTATGGTCGAAAGATGCTTCATCAAATGTGTATCCAATGCGAATAATTTAGATACCATCGACATAAATAATCATTTAAAATATAAAAATCTTTCATCAAATATATAAAGAATTCATTAGATTTTACTATCGAATCTTGACAAAGTTTGTTTATCTGACATTACTTTTACTGCTATTGAAAATTCATATTGGTTCGAATTTATGAAAATCGTACAACTATATATCTTAGCCCCAGTTTAATAAAAGGTATATATAAGATCATACGATAATGTTTAGTAGTGTATCGGGAATTAACCAATCGATGTCAGGGCATTAATTTAAAATTGAGGGGGGGGAAATAATCTTACATATAAGCTGATGTTCTACTCTAACAAAAAAGAATTTATCCGAATAAGCCACACCACGTTACTGCCAAAATGTCCAGATAATCAAGTCATCTACTAAAGATTATTTGAAGAAATTCAATTTTTTTCTTAAACCACCGAATTTCATTTCTATTATTGTATGACATATTAGATTGTATGATAACATGCCTTGTAGTAACTGTGATTTATTAAATTTATATCTCAGGGGTATAAATTGACCCATGAAAAAAGGGAATCAGGATTTCCTTAAAGATTACAATAGATAAATAAAATATATAAATAAATAAAATAAATAAATTTTTAATAAATAATTTGCAAGGGGAAAATCACTTGATACATTTGGATAAAAATGAAATAATATTAAGTAAGGGACAAATTTGTCGACAGTTAAAGTTAAATGATGAAATAATGTACGTAGTAATCATAAATATCATAAATTAAATTTTTACATTAATTTTAACAGCCATGTAAAACTCTAAATAATTTGTTTATATTGAATCAAAGTTTCACAACATAAGAGCCTTAATCGCAATTATCTTAGGTGTGTGCGTACGTACGTAGATACAGTTTCAGGTATCAATTAGGTATCAAATAAAGGAATTACCCAATCACGAATCATTCCGCCTTCGAAAAATAAATACCCAAATCTGCTGGTTCATTATAAATGCACGAATTAGATATAAATTCGGTGATCATATTTTTAAAGTATTTATCGATTAGTTTTTTTTTTCAAGTTTTTCGATTTGTTTCACGAGTTCACCAAATTCGACAATCGATCGTGTCGCGCGTTTTGTACCCAAAACTTTACTTGTTCACACACATTAATGACTTGTTCATATAAAAATGTGATCAATGCACGAATGAAAAACCAAAAATATTTAAGTATAACTTTTGTTTTAAACAAAAAAGTATCATGTTTCAAGCAACAATTTTTAAATTTTTCGGATTTACTCGAGGACAAATTTCACGGGAAATTCGTCGCGTTTTTTTTTATTTAAATTTTTTTTTTGTTTTTATAAGTTTTTTTTTTTTTTTTTAAAGAAAAATTGATAGTAGTAACTTTAAAAAAAAACGTGTATATATAATTGTTTTTTTTTTCGAATTCCAAAGGGATCAATTAAGGAACAAAAAAAGCGAGAAATCGATAATTATTTACAAAGAAAATTTTCTTCATTACAAACAAAAAAAAAATAATAATATTTACGGAATGATTATTTATACATGGTTTTAACAAAAGCTAGAGATAATATATATATAATATATATATATGTGTGTATGACGCAAATTACTAAAATTTAATAAAATATAAAATATATACAGAATTGCTTTTGTTATTTATAAAAAGGTGTTTATTTAAATGTGCATTCGGTATAACTGAAAATAAGATATATAAGAAAAAATTTTTTTAAAAAAAAATAATCATAATTTTTTTAAAAAAAATAATCATAATTTTAAAACATTTTCATGTTTTTTTCTTTAGCATATTTCGAATTATAATTCGAATTAATATTTTGAGATTTACGAAAGGGTTTGACGTAATCTTGGAAAAAAAAAGGATTGTTGGTATAAGAAAATATAGCGATAATCCTTCCGCACAAAAAAAAAAAAAGAACAAGCATAATTTTTTTGCACCACCCAATTATTAGTAAGAATACTTTTAGCAATACTTTAAAGTATTAGAAAAAAAAAACAAAAACAAAAAGAGGTGGAATTGATATTAAATTTAAATTTAAAATTTTTTGAAAAAAAACGAATTCGTTCGTGATTTTTGGTAAGTAGTAGCAATTTTTTTCGAAAGAGGACTATAAGAAATGCTTAATCATATTTATATATATATTAAAAAAAATAAAATAAAATAAAATAAAAAAACCGAAGTGTGGTAAAATTTTGTGGTATAAATTTTAAAAAAACTTAAAAAAATTTGTGGTAAACGCATAAGTATATACTGATCTGATCACCAACAATCAAAAAAATCGAGAAAATAAAGAAAAAGGGCAGCGAGGAAGGTTACCCTGAAAAAAAACGAAATGATATTTGATATTTGATATTTGATGATTGATATTTTCATTGCGATATAAAAAATATCAAAAAGATATTTGTTTGTCATTAATAATTAATATAGTTGGTGTTATCGAGAAAGTTATCACTCTTTCTTTTTTTAAGAAAATGTCAAAAACAATAAGTCGAAAAAACGGAATAAAAGAATCGACATTTGAGGGATAAGAGATTTCGCCAATATTGTTGATTTAACTTAAGATAGGATGTTGAGGAAAGACAATATGAGCCTGATCGGAATGAGCAACTTGATGGCACTGTTCATTTCTTTGTTGAGCCAATTCAGCGAGAATAGAAGTACGATCGTAATCGATTGGTGAATGAGTATAATAAACTTTTTCAAACCGACTAAATCTAACAGACTTGCGTCTTTGACCCACTGTCGATGTGACGCATGATTCTGTTGAAACGATAGCTGAAGCAGTTTGTGTGGCCATATTCGCAAGATCAGGTCGTATTCAAATAAACAACAATATTTTAAGTTTTTAAGATTTTAAGATTTTAAAGATTTTAAAATTTTAAAGATTTTTTAAAGATTTTAATTTTTAATTTCTATACGAACGGTTACGAAGAATTAACGAACGAACGAACGAACGAATGTTTATGATGGAAGAAAATAAATTTCGAAAAAAAAAAATATTATTTTTAATTCGTTACCAACATGAAAAAAAAAACCTACAAGAATAAAGAAATTTGAGACGTATAATAAAAGATTTCTTTATTTAAGGGATTCGTTTTGGAAAAGAGAAGCAACAAAGGTTAAATGTCTTTTTTGATAGAGAACTAAATGGTAAAGATAGAGAACTACAGTAAAATGGAAGGTTAAAATAATTGAATCCCGGTTCTCTTGTGAAAGAAAAAATCTTTCAGTTTATTATTTCAGTTGGAAGGAAAAAGAAAATAATAAACGGATAAAATTGTATCGAAAAAAAAAATTAAAAGGATAGAGAGCGATAAAGAAAGGAATTACGAAAAAAGAACAGAATTTTTTTAAGTCGTTAAAAAGATGATTTGAAATCGTTATGTTCTGGTTCTTTTTAAGGATTTTGGAGTAATGGGCATTTAGGTGAACGCGTAAGACGTCGTTAAAGAAGGGAGAAAGAAAGATGGATGAGGGTTTTAAATTTTTTCCAAAGAAAAAATTATATTATAAAATATAAAAGAACATCGATAGTTGATATGTACTAGAATGCACAACAGGTTAAAAAAAATATATATATATTAGATTATTATAAATATAAATAATAAGTATAACATAACAAAAAGGTTATCAAAAAATTTGATACTTAAAGAATATATTAGTGTACAAAAAAATTGCTGATGCATAATGAATGCATATAATAAGTCGAACTGAAGTTGGGTCGCAATAAAATAAAATTGAAACAAGATTTACATTAATTTTTAATATAGGCCGGCTATATAATATAAATTAATCGATGGAAAAATTATATGGAAAAATTATATGTAGAAAATTATGTGGAAATTATGTGGAAATTATTGGGTTACGATTATTTGTACATTAAAAATTTTGACATCCATTATCAATTGGATTACTTTACCACGAATAATATTAAACGAAAAATCCGTTTGCAATCACAAAGATTCTTTTTAATAAAATAAAAATGTTGTGCGACAATAGAATAAATTAGAGTAAATGAAGGGCTGTAAAGTATGCGTACAAACGAAAAAAAATATATTACCGGTAGATTAAAGCTTTGAAATTATCATAATCATATATCATAATAATAATAATCTTATTATTATAATTATTAAAATAATTATTGTAATAATTATTATAATAATTATTATAATAATTATTAAAATAATGTCAAAAAAAAAATAATACATAACCAATATACATGTTTTTTAGTAAAATGTCTCACAAAATACGTAAGAAAAGTAAGAAAAGCAAGAAAAGCAAGCAGAGTATGAAAATTAAGATTTATGACGTTAGTAGTAAAATCATTAAATGTCAAATTTCATAATATAATGGATGCCATTATTACGCCGAATTATAGGGCAAAGGGGGAAAGATTTGTTACGGCCATTTCGACTCCTTGGTTGGTATAGAAAAACAATAAATGAAACTAGCATTATCAAAGGGGTGAATAATTAAAATTGTAAATTGTGTATATATGCTGTATGCGCAGTACGTAGGAGTCGATTGATAGGCAAGATAATGCTGTTGGATGGCAAATTTAAGCCACACTAACAATGCTAAACAGGACCGAAAACCATCTAATACATTTTATTGTATGTTTTGAAATAATAGCATTTAGCCATATTTACGATAGATTTTCAATTTTATTTGACGAATGCGTCTTATATTACTCTTCGGTTTGGTAATGTACTACGTAGATACGCACGTTTTTGTTTATGACATCATATACATATTATATTGAAAACATCGAAGAATAGTTAGTTGATCGAATACGCGTGTGATATCGGCCGATTTCCTCCCCGGGTTTTATTATCGATAAACTAAATGATCTTTAAAGTTGAATCAATTGAATGAATTTTTGTTAAAATAGGATTAAATAGTTTAGTTATTTAAAAATAGCCTATCAAAACGAATTAACATTATGATTAAGTCGCATGCATCGTTGGCGCTAGGCAATAAACGATTTTATTGTAAGTTACTGTAAGTTACTGTAAGTAAAACTAAAATTCAAATTTAATAATAATAAAGTGAAAAGAAAGTTCCCATTTGACATTGACAAACATTGACACTTGACATGTACTTTGTAATACAACCCCACAAAATAATTTTTACGGCCAAATTTGTATCGGTCAAAGAGAAATCATGACATCATGATGTACTAGAGTGATCTTTCATTTTGTTGAATTTTGTTGAATTTGTTGAATTTTGTTGGATTGTTGAATTCAAGCTTCAATCTTCCATTGTTCGCATTTTTGGATCAAAAAAAAGAAAAACAAGAAACAAAAGCTTAAAGTCGATCAAAAAGAGTTGAGGATCTCTGATATTCTTTGACATTTTGAACCGCTCAATTATTATTCGATGATTATTATTTGATGTATTTGATGATTATTTCAATTATTATTCAATGATTCAATTATTCAATGTCGACAATGAAGTAATGAATTCAATTCATTGTTTTTTTCACTATCATTGGTCGTACATATAAAGATTTAGCCGCCAAAAAAAAAAAAAAAACAATCGACCATTCATTATCTATTCCAAGTTTGAGCACACCATACGTAATTGCACAGCGAAAAAACGTTAATCATAATATCACATGAAACATGGACAACAAAATATCAATATATGCTTTATCACAAAAATTCAAAAATTGCTTTATTTCCAAATCAAAAGTCATAGATGCATACAATAATGTTATCGTGAACAAGGTAACACAAACAGAAAAACAAAAACAATATGGTGAACACTGAGACAAGTTTCTCACAAATAAGGATATGTTTTTTGGTGGGGAAAGCGTGGTACAGAAAGATAGATCTCGTTATCTTAGACCAGTTTAAATGCTATACGTATGCTACGTACCACTACGCAAGTTTGTCTCCTTATAGAATTCATCTCAGTGTTACAATTCTTTCTTGAATGTGTTTCGATAGTAAAAAACGGCCGAATTTTTTTAAACAATGTGACAAATGTGACGATTGTAATAGCATTGATTCAGATCTGTTTCATACATGATGCTGTACTATTTGAAGCATGATTTTTTAGCTTTGAAAAAAAAAATCTACTATTTGTAACAGTACAATCTTGAGAAATAATTCATTGAACATGTGATGTAACAATTGTTGACAGCATTTACAGCATTTACAGCATTTAGTGTTATCTCATGTACATCGAATGTACACTGAGTATACACCAGATATACACCAGATATACACTGAATATACATTGAATACTGAATATACACCGATATACGAATTACACACTTTTATTGATCCAAGAAAAAAAGGCAAATAAATAAATAAATAAATAAATAACGATAAAGGGACATGCATTATTGTTAAACATCGAATATAGTCGAATATAGTCGAGTATAGTCGAATATAGTCGAATATAGATAATTACCCGACACGTCCCGAATTTTACATAGATAATATTGTCTAAGACATCATTTTGTACAATTAGCTTTGGCAATCATGTATATACTGTTAGAATAAACATTTAGTTTACTTTTTCTAGACTATCATCAGTTGTTTACCTAATTGATCTTAGCCTGTGGTTTCTGCATTTTACAAATAAAAAATAAATCTAATGTTAAAATGTAGTATAGCCTTACTGCTTATTTACTGCTTATTCACTGCTTATTCGATGGTTTTTTTTCGCGCATTGAATACGTAAGTACGTACGTACTTACATTTGAAATAAAAACCAGTTTTTTTTTTTGTCTAACGATAAATAGGCATAAAATCAAATTGTGATCTCACTTTTTTTTTTGTTTCTTTTTTTTCTAGACGCATTGCATTTTTTTTTTTTTGTAAACAATGATATATCTGTTTCCAGGAACTTGGAACATTGAGTTATTATTGTAGTTGGGGAATGGATGTTCATTTTCATTATCATTTTAGGTTTTTTTTTCTTAAAGAGTTTGGTTTTGGCTGAATAAATTAATAATTCGCTGTCGCTGTGTTGATAATTCGCTGTGTTGATAATTCGCTATGTTGATAATTCGTTGTGTTAATAATTCGTTGTGTTTAATAATTCCTTGTGATGATAAAATATATCCATAAGTAACTAAGACTCTTTGATAATCCTTTCATACGCGCTTGACATCATGGCGACACGAAACTTATTTGCTTACATAGATAAATGTATAATGAAGATACTTAAACGAGATTTTCTAATGCAATAACTTCTAATGTATAAATTCTATATAATTTATATGTAATACAGTTTTATATGTTATACGTATGCTAACAATGATGTATGCTTATACATAATGTAATATATGCTAATATATATATGCTAATATATGCTAATGTCGTACCAAGGTTTTTATATCTCCGAACATTCAAATTTTATTGTAACAACTTCCGTCAATAAATTAGCCTAAACTAGAAAACCAGTTACAATATTTTGATGGATGTGTACAAAGAACTTACCATCTTTGTATTATAAGGTATTATTTTAGGTTACAGATGAAAAAAAAATTTTAAATTGGTTATTCGGCGTTTTTAAAAAATGTTTATCTATGATATTTTTAATGGATAGACCAATATTATCCGTTGTTATTGTTTTTAAATTTTTAAATCGAAATCGTAGTAGTCCTTATAAGAAACTGTGGCAGATTACTAGATTATTAGTGTCGATACTTTATTAGTTGAACTAGGCCTATACATAAGTATATACACAAGTATATACATAGGTATATACATACCTGATACGTATATACATACGTACGTATATCCGTATGTATATACGCATGTATATACGTATGTATATACG